GCCCTGCCAAGCAGGAGCCAGAGGAGGTGGAGTCAATCTCCAAGGCTAGGGGAGGGTCAAGATGAGCTCTTGAGTCTGGAATTCGGCAGGCAGAGTTGTCCAAGCACAATTTTCCATTCCCAGGCCAGGGGAGGCGGAGGGGTAACGGCACAGGAGGGCTGAAACTGGCAGGCAGGTACAGCCCCCCATGGGGGAAGGGCCACAGCTAACGGGTCTCCACCGGCCCCCAGCCCCACATCTGGGTCTCATTACTCTGGCAACACACACAGGTGGAAGAATGTTCTGGGGGTGTTTTTCCAGAGCCTGAGCAGAAGCCAGACCCACGGTGCCTTCTCCTAGGGTCCTTACACATCAGTGATTGAGTAGCCAGTGAGCAATGGGCAGGCATTCCTGCTGGTACACAGGCACCCCGCGGGCACGCAGCTCCCCGCATGACCCAGGTCTCGCTCACACGCACTCCACCTCCAACGCCAGCCCCACCCCCACCCCCTGCCCTGCCTTTGGCTCACAGGCCACAGCAGAGGCTCCTCAGGCCACGGGCCTCTCTGGCCAGTCAAATGTGACACAGGTGGAAAACAGGCAGCAGAATCACAAGCTAAGCACAATTGAAAAACGGTAAACATTGAACAAGTCAAAAAAATCGGACTTGGTGGATATAAAGCAACACAAAATCCAAACCAACAAGGGCGAATGCCTCACATGTTAACATTGGCCATTGATTCAAAACCCATGGAGGGAACCAGTTTTACTGACACCAAAGGGAGCCTCAAAACTGACCCGGGAAAGCTGGCTTGGGTGGCAACAGGTGAGCATCTACATGGTAGAAGGTGAAATTGGTCGTGCCCCTCCCTGTAAATAAGGAATAAAGTCCTCCCTGTAAAACTGACGTAGACAATCACTGATCTCAGTGGAAGAATATCTACTAACTAAAAATGAAAACTGGAGGGGAAAAGACCCTGGTCATTTGCTTCGTGTAGTTGATTGACATTGGACCAATTTAGGTAGATGAAGAAATTAGCTATGCCTTTGTTCATTTGGAAAATGTATCCCCATAAAAATTCACAAAGGTTGCTATAATTTTGATCTAAACATGTATCCACAGTCCAATGTGTTGAGATGGTGGCATCAAACAGGAGGTTTAAAGCTGGGGTCTCAGGGCCCTCCCTGATGGCATGACAGGTTAAAGCGCAGCACTGCAAGCCAGCCACAGCCACTTCAGTGCGAGTTCGATCCCCACCCTGGAGCTGACCCACATGGCACGACAGACCTCTCCTGACCAGCCCGCTGCTCCCCTCAGCAGCATACTACGTCGATCTGCCTGTTCTGCTCCCCACTCTGTCTCTAGTGAATTCTCTCACTGCCCCTGAGTCCCTGGCCTGTACCCCAGTTCTATATGCATAAATAAAGCTTTAAAAAAATAAAGCTGGGGTCTCAGAGCACCCTGCAATTGGCTGGTGCCAGGGCACAGATACTTGTGGAATACCCACACAGGTCCCCAAGCAGCTCACCCTTCTTCCCGGGGTGCCTGCCACTCAGATGCCACACCCTCCCAGGAGGGAACAATGGGGCCACTGTGACCCTCACAGGGTTCTGGTGGCCTCACAATGTCCCCCTGAGGTCACCACAGAGATAACTTCAGCGCTCCCTGTGCCCTAGGCACAAGTGTGCTGGGCCAGCCGTGGGCGATCATCCTTGGTCCTCCTTCTGGCCACCCAGGGGAAGTGGTGGCCGGAGCCCTGCAGCCTAACAAGGAAGCCTCTGAGGGAGCCAGGATCCGGGATACACCCCACCCGTCGAGGAGCAAGCCTGTGGCGACTTCCAGCTGCCATCCTGGAGGTCCTCACACCCAGTTCCTTTCAGCCACCCCAGGGAGAGATGCAGAAAGACACTCCGCTGCCGTCCGCTCCTGGGCCCTCGGCCTCAAACAGTGCTGTGGGCGCGGGCCCACAAGCCATGTCGGGGGTCCCTAGCAAGAGTGAGACTGAGCACCCCAAGGCCCACCGGAAGCCCAGCATATCCAAGGTGATCCTGAGGGCGGTGGAGGATGCGGGGACACGCCACCATGTGTCCCTGGCCACCCTGAAGAAGGCTGTGGCCACCACCGGCTACAACATGACCCACAACGCCTGGCGCTTCAAGCTGGTGCTCAAGAGGCTGGTGGACAAGGGCATGCTGAAGCAGGTGACCGGCAAGGGGGCCCTGGGCTCCTTCCGCATGGGCAAGAACCACGCCTCCAAGTTAAAGCTCAAGGCCAAGAGACAGCGGCTGCGCCAGCGGTCCCGGCTGCTCCAGCATGGGCAGCGCCGTCGGGGTCAGCGCCGTCGGGGGCAGCGCCGTCCTGGGCAGCGCCGTCCTGGGCAGCGCAAGTTGCTTCTGGGCTCTCGACAGGGGCAAAAGCAGCTCTTCAAGGGAGTCCGCGGGGCGGCCAAGAGCCGCCGCAACTAGAGAGGGAGGCCGGGCAAGCTGGCAGGGCACTGGGCCCACCAAGGGCCCCGTGCCAGGAGAATAAAAGGAGCCTCCCTTATTTCACACCTGCTTCCTGGAATCTTTGGGGTTCAAGGGAAGTGGGGAGAAGAGGGCTGGAGCACTGGGGAGGGATCAGGCGTTGGGTGGGAGAAACTTGGGCAAAATAAGAGCTGGATCGGGAAGGGCTCAAGGAGCTGAAAGCATCACAGGCATTAGCTTGTCCCACCACAGCCTCTTGCTAACGGAGAAACCGAGGCCAGAAAGGATCAAGGGAAGCGTGGCAGAACCCTGCCTGCTGGAACCCAAGGGTTCGGTCCATGGGGGGAGAGCGAGCGAGCTAGTCACCTCTCAAACCCTCTCCCCCGGGGTGGCAGCAGATGCCCAAGCCTAGCCTGGCCCCCTCCCTCTCTGCCCCCCACATTAGAGCTCCGTGCCCCTCTGCGAGCGAGATGGCCAACCAGGGCGAGCCCAGCATCCAGTGGGCTGGAGCTCAGAGACCCAGGTCATTTGGTTTGACTATTCTGTCCGTGGCATTTAGAGGGTCCAGCTTGACCGTGGGGGCCCCCTCCCAGCCCCTCTCTCCCTTACTCACTCAGAGGTGGCCAGGTCTCTCTTCAGCCTGTGGGACAGACAGTGCAGGGATCGGCCGTTAGTCGCCACGCCCTCCTGGCGGGGACCAGGCAGGCACAGGACTCCCCACAGCAAGACCCCTGGGGCCGGGTGGCACAGAGCCCAGGGCCCTGAGGAGGCCTCCGCCTGCACCCCTCAGGCCCACGCTCACCTGCCCTCCCGCCGGCAGCACATGACGTAGGCCAGGAGTGCCGTGAGCAGCAGGGCCACCAGCAGGGGCACCAGGAGGGTGACCAGCGCGTCGGGCAGGAAGTCTCGGGCCGTGGCCTCAGTGGGCGGGCAGAAGTATGGGTCACGCTCCAGGATGCCGTCCCCCGGGGTGCGTGCCTCCTCTGCCGGCTCTGGCACCGACTTATCCACCTGCGCGGAGAGCCCAGAGCTGACCCAGGGGCAGCGGGCTGGACACGCAGAACCCAGAGAACAGGCAGCTCCCGGCTGCAGGCCTAGGAACCCTCCACACCCCTGAGAGCTGTAGGTCTCGTTCATAATGTGGGAGTAGATGGACCTGTTAAGTGACGCCCCGGAAGGAGGCAGAGTCGTCACATGCGGGCCCTTGGGGAGAAGGGGTTTGGCACTGTCCTGTGGGTGGCTTGTCCCAGCCATTCAGTGGGACACTTAGGGATTTGGGTGGGCACCTTCCTGTCTGGGTGATGGACTCTGTCGCCCTCTTGTGGGAGAAGGTGGAAGCTCTGTGTGTGTGTGTGTGTGTGTGTGTGTGTGTGTGAGAGACAGAGACAGACACACAGACAGAGACAGACACAGAGAGATAGAGACAGAGAGAGACAGGCAGACACACAGAGAGAGACAGAGGCAGAGAGTGAGAGAGAATGCAGATAGACAGAGCAAGTGAAACAGAGGACTGGGAATGTAAGGAAGGGGCAGGGTTGGGGGGGCAGGGGAGAAGACTGAGGAGGACATTCCCTGCCCCACCAAGAGAACCAGGGACCCTCCTCACCAGGGACACATTGCACCAGTCAATGCGGAAGTGGGGTGCCAAGGTGTCATAGCAGGACAGCAGCGGAGCCTGGCCCTGGGCACAGCGTGCCTGGCTGTCGGGGGACGCCACCATCTTCAAGCAGGTGGAGAAGGGTGAGGTCGAGCCCACCTTGATGTGCACCCTGTGCCAGACGGAAGTCACTGTCAGCAAATGGGAGGGTCACAGGCACTGGACATTGGGGGTCCCAGGGTCCCCCTGATCTGGGATTGTACACAGAGCACAGCAGTCGTCTTGGGGCCGATTCCTCCTAGAACGCCCAGGCTGGACGGATGTTTTATGTCCTCACGGGCACCCAGAAGTGCAGAGTTCAAAGTAACTAGGGTTTGGGCCCACAGGGGCAAGAGGGAGATGAGGAGGTGGCCAGAGGGAAGTGGACAGAGATGGGAAACTAGGAGGGGCAGTTAAGAATGGACGCAGGCCCTCCCTGGGGGCACAGCGGGTTAAAGCGCAGCACTGAGAAGCTCAAGCCGCTTCCGCATGAGTTCGACCCCGCCCCGGAGGCGACCACATGGCACGGCAGACCTCCCTTGACCCGCCCGCTGCTTCCCTCAGCTATGTACTTGGTCAGTCGGCCTGTTCTGCTCCCCACTCTCTCTGGTGACTCCTCTTACCATCCCTGCACCTCTGGCCTGTACCCTAGTTCTGTATGCACAAATAAATAAACCTTAAAAAAAAAATGGACGCAGATGGGCACAGCGCCACCTTGAAACGAGGGAGGCCAGTGTTCTCTGCCCACGGCCCACCAAAGGCAAGCTGCCGCCTCCTTCAGGAAGCCTCCTGGGTTGCACACCTACCCTTCCTTGCGGCCCTCAATGGGAAGGGGAACACGGCCTCCACGGTCCAAGGCAGAGGTGATGTTGAGCAGCTGGAGCTCCCCTGGCTCCCAGAGTCCCCCCAGGTTGGTGAGGAAGCGGCTGGCAGTCACAGAAGGCAGCACCTCCTCCACATCATGGCTGCGCACCAGGAATTCAGCCTGGTAGGGCAGCAGGGGGCCTAGGGACACAGGGGGCACCTCAGGCTGCACCCAGCCTTGCATGGGTCCTTCTCAAGCCCTCTGCTGGCTCCCCCCAACCAAGTACTCCCCAGGCCCCCTCAGGCCCTTCTTTCCTCGCTAATACCCCATAGGCCCCCGAAGTCCTTCCCCAGCACCCTCAGCCTTGGCGGCTCACCAAGATCCCACAAATTGTGCAGCGCCACCGAGATACTCCTGCAGAGTCTTTCCAGGATGCCCTGGCCCCCACTGCTCTCTAAGTCCCTCCTTTCCACACACCCCCTTCCAGAGGAGATTGCCCCAAGACTAGTGGGACAGGTTCAGGGTGGGGCTGGTGGTACCTTCTGGGTCTTCAATCAACAGTACCAGCCTCTGCTGCGTGGTGTCGAAGCTGTCCCGATTATAGGCTGTGACCTGGGAGGGCGGGGAGGGGGGCTGAGTGGCCCAACCAGACACAGAGGCTGGGGCCTGGCAGGAGAGCACCCCCAAACCAGAGGAAGTAAGTCACATAAATGAATGTGCAGAAACGCCAGTCCCAGGAGGCAACACAGCCCACCGGGGACCCCGCTGGTACCTCGATGACCTGGCGCCCTCGGTCACCGGGAGTGGCGGTGCCATAGAGGAAGCCAGGCTGGTGGGGGCTGCGCTGGGTGTAGCGGAGCCAGGGGGGCAGGTCTGGGTGTCCCTGGAGGTGGGCGTGGTAGGTGATGGGGGCGGCGCGGGGGACGGCTGCTGGAACAAGGGCAGGTGATTGGAGACCGCCTCCGGGGGACGGGCACGCCCCGTCCACACCAGAGCCGTTGGGCCTTTGGGCCCCTCACCTGTGTGCTCAAGAAGGCGAGGGAAGCTTTCCTGGTCCAAGGTGTGCACAAACACACGGCCCACCAGCGGGCGCAGGGTGGTCTGCGGCTGCTGGGCCTCCGTGCCCCCCGGCCCTGCCAGGAGACCTGTGGGGAGCCCAGAGCCCTCAACACACAGCCTAGGCCCAGTCCTGGGGCAGAGATAAGCTGCCCTCCATCTCAGCCCCTGTCCTTGGTTCTCCTAAAGGACTGAGAAGTGTGAGCAGAAGAGATGCCTTTGCGGGTGCCCAGGAAAAGGCCAAGCCCCTCCCCACAGCCAAAGACCCAGAGACTGCTGTGTTTGGAGTCAGGGAGCCCCCCTCCTCGTTTTAGCTCCCGGTGGGGGTCACAGTGGATGGATGTGGGCCAAGAGGGGTGTGTGTATCCTAAGGATACTTGGGAAAGAAACCTTAAGAGTTTGGTGTTCCTTCGAGGAAGCCAGGGTGAGAGGGGCTGCAAAGAACCCAAACACCATTGGAGAAGGAGGGTAGCCATTCTGAGACCTCTACTCCCCTTCCCTAATATATAAGGGGATCCAGCCCACACGGAGCCCGGCAGAAGCCGAGCAAAAGGAATTCTGGCCCCAGAGGCCCGGCCCTCCCTTCTAGAGCCAAATTTAGCCTGGGCCTAGAAAACCTCCAGCCCAGTCAGCCCGTTAAAGGGCCCACGGCCCTCTAGGTCTGAGTGGTCAGGCCCACCCGGGGCCCAGGGCACCCTGACCCTCAGCATTCCCAGCCCCAGAGCCCGGAGCCCAGCCCTCAACCCCAGTCCCTGGACCCTCTGCCAGCCTTGACATTAGCACCCCAAAATATTTTTGGCCCTTGCCTCAACCCCCACAGAGAAATAGAACCTTCCCTACTTCCACTCATCACCCCTAAATCTCAGCCTGTCCTGGCCTCTCCCCTAAAGAAGGCCCCTACTTGCCCACAAAGAGAAGAATCCAGGTTAGCGCTGCTGCCATGGCTGCCCCAGCCTGGCCTGGCCTGTGAGTGACAGAGACAGGAGGGGGGAGGAGAGAGGGAGGTGCCCGCCCTGGGGCCTCCCTGTTGCCACTGGAGCAGCCACCACAGGAGGGGGGCTACCTCCTGGCAGGACAGGCCCCCCAGCCCCAGCTGAAGAGGGGAGCGTTCTCACCGCTAACCTCCCACCTCGGTGCCCCTTCAAGCCAAAGGCTCCATTGCCCTGAATGCCCGCTGCTGGTTTCAGGTCCTTCTTTGCTTTTTTGCTTGTTTTCTTCATTGTGAGTCATCGTTCTGTGGTTACTGTTCCCCTTAGGCGTGGCTCTCCCCACGATCCACCCACCTACCACGACCCACCTACCATGACCCTGCCCTGCTGGAGGTCCATTTTTACCTGGCCATCCTGTCCAAAATCCACCCTGCCCTCCCCCCACCCCCCAACGCAATATCCAGGCTTCTGCCCAGCCCCCTCTGGCCCCAACCTGATCGGTTCTCACACGCCTTTGCATAAGCCCCCCTCTACCTCTTCCACCCTCATCCACCTGCAAGTCTCACCCACCTTTCAGGTGCCAGCACAGCCCTGCTTTTCTCTCTGAAACCTTTCTGTCTCCCTTCTTTCCCTAGGACAAGCTGGGCATCCACTCACCCCTGAGGACAGCCCCACCTCCCAGCATCACTGCAAGCAGCAGGATCTGGCCTCTGTGTCCCTGGGCCTGGCAGGGCACCCGCAACTCCTCAAGGTAAGTGGCTAGGGCAATGGCTTCCTTAACAGCACACTAAGCCCTGGCCCCCGACCAAGCACCCCAAGAGAAAATCCTGGACGGGACCAATTAGATAGACAGTGGAGGCCATGGCCCAGGCTGGCAGGCCTGCAGCGCCAGGACGTCAAAGGTGCCCTGCCTGGCACAGTGGGGCAGCCTTCAAAGAGTTGACCCCACCCTCTAGGCCCTGTTTCCACGGCTACAAGCCAGTGACCACAGCATTTGCCTCTTGGTGTCATTCTGGGGAATTCACCAAATTAGGAATTGAGCATATGTTAGGGAGCAACTGCTAGGTGCCTGGGTGAAGACATGAGTAGGCCCCGGGCTGTGGAGCTGGCATGGCAGCTACTAGGCCAGAGGTTTTTCACACAGATTTGCATGCAGGAAGGCATTCCATCCCAAGCAGCCCCAGGAGGCAAGCATAATCACTGTCCCCTTTCACAGATGAGAAAACTGAGCCTGTGGGGGGCAGGACTGCCTCAAGGCTCTAAGTGCTTAGCCCCACCCTGACTCAACCAGTGACCCCCTGGAGGGGTCAAGGTGAAACCTGGTTTCTGCCTCCCTCCTGCACCTGCCTAGGCTCTTCATCTAGGAGAAGGCTGAGGGGCACAGTGGATTCTCCCAGGGGCCTGAGGAGCGCAGGGGAGAGGGGGCCTGTGAGTGTCAAAGTTCCAAAATTCTGAGTGCCTGTGACATGCCTCCTGGACTGGGACAAAGGGTCCCGTTCCCAGGGACCCCTAGCCCTATAGCCGATGCCCCAGGCAAGGCCGTCTGGGGCCTGCACTGGGTCAGCCAGAGCCCAAGGGTGTCAGCCTTCAGATTGGGGTGACTAGCGAGCAGGTTACTCAGTTCTTGTCCCTGTCTTTCTCTCCTCACCTGACCATCCTACCTGTCCCTGGAGAGCCACCAAATTTCAGAGTCAGCATCCACTCAGGCAAGGTGGTTTGTCCCAGAGTCACCTTTGTGCCTTCTCAGAGATGGGGGCCAGAGGAGGTAGAGGACTCTGGGGGAGCAGGCAGAGGAGCCAGGGCCTGGCCAGCTGCCACCGTGCCCTGTGACTCCCCTTTCTCCCCCTGCTGCCTTCCCTGCTATTTTTGGAGCCGCCCACTCATACCCTCTGCTGTCTTAAGGGGGCAGTACCCAAACCCAATGCCGCCAAGTCCCCAGGGGCTGGCTTTTGTACTGTCCCTATTCCTGTAACTAGCCAGGGGACCTTGCCAGGGGCTAGCTGGAAACCCCTGGAAGCCCCTGGTCCTCCAGGCCCCTCCCACCTCACAGCTGCCTGGATTGCCAGCCCCTGCTGGAGCACTCCACACTTGGTGTTCCCTGGACGGTTTGGCTGGGCAGGGGAAGAAGGGGATACAGGAGCACAGGGTCTTCACACTTCTTATACTGGAAAATTGCTGGATCAAACAAAAGCATACAGAATAATATAACAAGCTCCAGATACCTCTTACCAGCTTCCGCAACGATCAATGCACCACCAACCTCCCTTCATCTGTACTCTTCCCACTCTCCCCATTTAATTTACACTGTCAATATTTCAGTATCTTTGCAAGATAATGATTTTTTTTTACCATAACCACAGCTGTTACAACCCATTCCATTACTATTCCTTCAAGTTAAAAATAATTCTTAATATCAGATCTATAGAGTTCAGATACCCAATTTTTCACACATGTCTGTTTCTTGTGTTATAATGTATTTGACTCGGGATCCAAAGGTGCACACATTGCCACAGACTGCTCCTCTCTTTCAAAGTTCTGTAAATCTACAGGTACCCCCTAGGGATTCTCAAACCCTTTACCATCTGTCCTTCCCTGTTTCTTTCTTGCCTGGAGGGAACCAGATCGTTTATTATGTAGTTTTCCAAAGTCTGTATTTTGCTGACTGTATTTCGCTGATGTTCTTTTGTTCCTTAACATGTTCCTCTGGCCACTGTACTTCCTGTAAATCGTATTTCCTTCCATTGTTATTTCCTGTAAACTGTAGTTGGAGTCCTGATCAGGTGAAAGGCTGTGTTCTTTTAAAAGACCACATTGTGGCGCTGTTTCTCCCAGCTCAAGGCACAGTGGCGATTGATCCCCTGAGCTCGGTGCTTCGTCCATCAACTTTTTTTTTTTTCCCCTATTGATTTTCAAATCTGGTCACTCCTTCCTCCATCAGTTGGAATAATTCTGGATAGAAACACTGCCCCTTTCTAGCCATTTGTCACTGAGTGGCACAGCTTATATAGAAAACACAGGATAAAGACTTGGCTCCGTTTCTGTATTTACCAATTTTGAAATAATGAGTAGATTTCCTAGCATCCTCCAAACAGCGACCCGATAGATTTTTCAGTGGAGGCATAATTATGAGTTTTTGACTTTAAACATCTCTGACTGCTCCCATCCATGGCAATGGGTGTCCCTCCCGGCGCCCAAGCTGTTGAGCGCATCTCGACCTCCCAATCTGGTCCTCTCGCGTTAAAGCATGCTTCTGGGGAACTGGAGGGTCAGGTCTCTGCTCGACGCACGTCAGTCTCCGCAAGCCCAGCGGGGCCCAGCCCTTGCTTATTTGGGGAGCCCCAGCTCTGCCCTCAGCGGGCTGGCTCTGCAACACTGCTGTTTTGCCTCTGGCAGTCTCCTCCGCTTTCCGTTTCCGTTGATCTCTGCCTGTTATTCATTGTCTCCGTCGAATCCCTCCTGTCCTTTGTCCCCGTGTCTCCCCATCTCAGCGAAGGTTTGCCGAATGAATGAATGATGGGTTGAACGAATTCATCATCTTCCCAACTGTCTTATTCCGTTTCAGTCCCTATGAACCTACCTCCCTAAGTCTCTTGGTCTTTAAGGGCCGTATTTTCCTCCTCTGCATCTATACGTTGTCATGAGGGACAAAGGAAAGGAATTCTCGTCATAGTGATCTGAAAGTCGCATCTGCCTTCCAGACTCCTCCCCTCACCTCTTTCTACCTAACACCCTTGGCCGCGGCAACCCCGCAACAAAGGGTGCAATCAGTCCGTCCGCCACGAGGGGGCGCGTTCGCTGGCTCCGGGCCAGATCTGCGCCTGCGCGGGGTTGGGGCGGAGCTGCGCCGGGGGACGGGGGGCGGAAGCCACGGAGCGCGCCGCCTGGGGCTAGGGATGCGCGTCACTAGTGCGTGCTGGGCACGCCGCAGCTGGAGGGGGCGACGGAGGAGGGAACCGGAGCTGGAGCCCTGCCTTGTCCGCCTCTTCCGGGTCCCGGGGATGTTCTAAACGGGGAGAACCCGCTGGGAGAGGGCTGGGCACAATGCCTCCTTCACCTTGCCCGTCATCTTTGTCAACCCTCAGACTTCCAAGGACATGTCCACATTCCCCCCCACCCCCACATCATTTAGGGGCACGAGCCTGGTTAACCTGAGTACCCACAGTCTCTTCCCCACCCTTTTTGTCCTTGTACTTGAACCTTGAAAGGGGGTTCTTAACGCCTCGTGACTGCTTAAAGCCATCAATTAGGAGTCTGCGAATGCCGGAGACCATTCCTGGCCAAACTTTACTTACAGGAAAAACAGCAAGGGGTGGGGCTCTCCTCTGTCCCGTGGCACAGTCTCTGCACAGCTCTGGACACAGAGCCCAGAGCCCTCTCCACTGAGACTCTGCGAAGTGGAGCAATAAGACCAGTGAGATAATGGAAGCAAAAGTGCTTTGTAAGGGACAAAGACTGAAGAAAGTAAAGGGTCTTTATTTATAACTGATAATACAAGGCAGTAGCTGCCCAGGGCCAGCCCACTGGTCACAACGTGAATGCTGCCAGATTTAGAAGCCACCACTCAGTGATAGAAAGATTAGGGGAATAAAAGAAACAAAATCTCTGACAATGTTTACAGGTGACATGATGATTCATATAGAAAATCGAATTCTACATGCATGTTATTTGGGCTAGTAAGAGAGATCAGCAAGGTTGCTGGGCAGAAACAATATCCCATACAAACAAAACACAAAATTCAATATTGTTTTCATGCAGTACCAATAATTTGTTGGAAACTATCTTTTTGGTTTCTAGAAAAAAAATCTTTTAAAAAAGCATAAGAAAATTAAAATTGTGTAGAACACAGTACAAAACTTTCAAAGATATTTATGAAGGAAAACTGCAGGTTCTAAACCTATAAAAACCATGAGCTACAAAAAGAATAAATGAAAAGATGTGTTAAATTTAGGAATAAGAGGCCTCAAGGCCATGAAGACAGCCCTGTTCCTATTATTCCGGTGATTCAGTGCAAGTCCAATAAATATCCCAATAGGATTTTTCAGAGAGCTAGGCAGACCAGTAAAATTCTTGTGTAAGAGCAATGGACCAAGTAACTAGACAATTCTGAAAGAGAACAAGCCCTTTCCAGATACCAAGACTTATTTGAAAGTGATAGTAATTAAAATAATGTGGTATTGGTGCAGGCTAGACAAAGAGATCAATAGAACAGAGTGCCCAGAAACAGATCCAAGCTTATGTGGGAATGTGATTTATGAGGGCAGTGGCGTTGCACTTCGGTGAGACAGAACAAA